TACAGAGAATCTGAGAAAAGGTAAAATTCATTCATACTCTATTAATCATCAGCTATGAACAGTGCTGATTTATATACAAGATCTGAAACAGAAAAGTGCAAGGTGTCATAACCACCTGATGGCAGCAAAAACTACAAAAAGGAATATACGTGGTGCAAGGCCAAAATGCAAAGCTGTTGTAACAAACTCTGATATGATCTGGCACTAAATATTATCAGCTAAAATAACTAAAATAAAAATTGAAAAATACAATATATTTAACATATCAAAGAAATGATTTTATGACTATTTCTACGTTTTTGTTTAGCAGTCAATTGTTGTATCTTGGCCTGGGGTCTGGGGAACAGGTTAATGTTTGCTTTTCTGCGTTTTATTGCTGGTTGTGGGCTGTATTTGATGTAATAATAATACCATTACCAACAGCAAAGGATGCCGATCATATCCCAACCCAACTCTGATGCATTCATTATGAACAATTCCAATTTTCTGTTTAATATCATAATTAATATGAGCTTTTCAGTCGGTATCATCAATTAATGGCTGCGGGGTTAGTATTATTCTTATTTTTTTCCTATTATTATTATTATTATTACAGTCCCTGTTATAGTAAAGCAATTTGGCGTGCACTGCAACAGATCAGATTGATTCATAAATTTTTTCAGTAATACAATATTCATATTCATAAATTTATCATCTCACATTCTTTTCTTCTTTAGGTTTTTTTGGGGTCACAGGGAAACTAAAGTACAAGGAAACCAACTAGCTTCAGTGGAAAACCAAAGACAAGATTCATCAGAAATAACTTACCGAATGGGGTTTATTAAACGTGCAATATTGTATTACTGAACCGCAGCTCAAATCTTCATGCTTCTTCTGAATCGCGGAATACTCGTAGTTCTAGGACAATACTCACTCGTATGAGGGAACCCAAAACTATTCGAAATAGATACTTTCAGCAATTGGCCAAACGACAAACCAAATAATTGGATCGACACACCTCAACCCAAAACTTAAGACTCAAGTTGTACTCACTTAAAATATTTTTAATCGTTGTGGAACTTCAACACTACCCCCACTTTATTTCTAACAAACCCGTCAACTAGTCTAACTCAGTCAGACAGACAACATACTGACTATGTAAGAAGTCACATTGTTAAATTAAGAATATTAATTAATTATGATTTGGGGAAGTAATTCCGTAATTTACATAGGATGATTATAAAGGAATTATAATAATTCATATTAAGTTCATTTTCAGAAGAAAAGTGCTAATACGGTGTGTTTCGCAGTATAAATGTGTACAGGTGAAGTGAATCGAAAAATGAAAATAAAAAATAAAACTATGAATATTCCAAGAAAATATATTAGGTCAATAATATAAAGTCTGAAGGTTAAATAATTAATAGAAGTGTTTGAACTAATACCAGATAATTAAGTGAGTAGTGTTTTAAATGACCAAGACACACTTAACCCTTCATTTCTTCTACATAGAACATTTACACACTAAGGCATGGTGTCATCTTTTAGGAGAAAGAACAAAGCTTGGAAGCCTAAATTCGTGCACCCTCTTAGACAGGAAGATTGAGACTGTAGCAAGACCTTCAAAGCTCTTTCTTTTTGCTGTTTGGAAGCTTGAGTATATGTTCCTACCTTTGTTTCTTGAGTTTTAATGAAAAACATTGAGTCTTGAATATGTTTAATGAGTAAAAGTGATAACTCAGTGGTGTACTAGCATGAACACACATAAAAACACGTATTTGGACCTCTGTGTTCCATAAAAATGGACCCTTGTTGGATTTCTTTGCAAAGAATACATTTCTGCACTTCTATCGCGAAATATCCAGATATCTGGATATAGGTTGGAAAATATTCGGATATTGATATCTAGATATGTCCTAGACAAATATCTAGATATTCTACAGTTTTTGAGAGAGTAGTAGACAAAAGTATATAGAAAAAAAGATAAGTAAAATAACCTATATATATATATATATTAGGGATTGTACTGGTCCTGTTACATGACAAATTCCTTCCATCCTGCACACACAAAAACCATCGCGGTCAACTTTTTATTTTTATTTTATTTTTTGAAACTCTCATCGGCACATGCTTTTTTGTTAGTGCAAGCAAAACATTTCTATATAACAAATCTATTCTCCATATATATATATATATATATATATATATATATATATATATACACATACAAGGATTCTCTACAACGAGGTAAATATAAAGACAAATATTTCCTCTATGGTATAAGAATCCTTGTATGTATGTATATATAGGGAAACGATCCGTTTACAAATTTTTTTTGAAATTTTTTACAAATTACACTATGTTCTCCTAGTGTAGTTTGTAAGAGTTTGTAAATAAAAAATTTTATAAATATTATCTCCCCTTATATTTATATATATATATAGGGGTAAAAATTTCTGCAGTCACTTTAGATAAGGTTATCTACAACCCCATTTTTAACTATGTTCTCCCGGGAGAACATAGTTATAATAGTAAAGTCGCTTTTTTTTCTCTCTCCTCAGTTACTTTTCAGAACCTGTTTGCGGACGTGGAGAGAGAAAAAAAAGTAACTTTAATATTATAACTATGTTCTCCCGGGAGAACATAGTTAAAAATGGTGGTTGTAGATAACCTTATCTAAAGTGGCTGTAGAAATACTTTTCCTATATATATATATATATATATATATATATATATATATATATATATATATATATATAGGAAATATAGCTCTGTTGTTGTTGCAAAAAAAAAAAAAGTTGCAGCAACACATAGAAAGTCAGATATGGTGACAGATCTTGACTTTTTTGAAAAAAAATGAGTGGATCTCACTTTTTTGTATTTTGGAAAAGATCTTATTTAGAGTGACCGCAGAAAAAAGATATGGCTTTAATATTTCTACAGTGAATGTAGATAAGTTGTCTACATTCGCTCCCAAAACAACGTCGTTTTGGATTGAAAAATTAAAAAATTATAAAGAATAAGACTATTATAACCCTAAAATAAATTATAATTACAAAAATACATTCATTTCTGCCTCAAAACGACGTCGTTTTAGGCTCAATGTAGATACATTATCTACATTGATTGTAGAAAAAGCGAACCCAAAATATATATGAGAAAAATATTTCTCAAACTGTTTGAGATAAATTTATCTTCAGCCACCCCAAAACTACGTCGTTTTGATTATTTATTTTCTTATATGTATTGATTCACCTTTGAATGGTTATGATTCCCCTTTTCCCTCTCTTCCTTTATCACCATTGATCCATCTTTATACGGTTATGATTTAGTAGCCGGAGATAACTTTATCTCCGGCAGCTTGAGAAATGATAAGCCTATATATATATATATATATATATATATATATATATATATATATATATATATACGTGTTCACTTTTCTACAGTCAATTTAGATAAGTTATCTACATTGACCCCAAAACGACGTCGTTTTGAGACGAAAATCCAGGTATTTTTATAATTGTAATTTATTTGATAATTATAATAGTTTTTTCATTATAATTTTTTAATCCAAAATGACATTGTTTTGGGAGCGAATGTAGATAACTTATCTACATTTAGTGTAGAAACATTAAAGCATATATATATATATGGTTCATTTTTTCTGCCGTTAAGGCAGATAAGTTATCTGCATTGAGCCCAGAACGACGTCATTTTGGAACGAAAATCTAGGTCTTTTGTAATTTTAAGTTATTTTAGAATTATAATAGTTGTTATAATTATAATTTTTTAATATTTCAACAGTAAAACGACGTCGTTTTGGGAATAAATACCAATAGTTTATTTGCAATAACTGCATAAACATTTTTTTGATATATATATATATATATATATATATGTATATATGTGTGTGTGTATATACACACACCTCGTTGTAGAGAATCCTTATATGCAATGTTATTAAAACCGGCCCGGTTATTGACCCGATCGAGGTACCGGGTCTCTGGGTCATTGGTTCAACAAGTGAGTCACTGGTTCAACCGCATGACCCGGTAATTATATGTAATTTTATAATTTATATTAAAAAATTATAAACATACTCAAATATCTAAAAAATGATAAAAATTTCAAATATTTTAATACAAAAAATAATAATCACATATTATTATCAAATAAAAAATCAAACAAAAATATAATGATCGTGATACGGGGCTTTAGGTTCAAAAAATGACATCTCTAACTATAAATTAATTCAAAATTTTATGCATAGTACATAATTGAGATAATATTAGTGTTGTAGGTACATAACTTATGTAAGTCAATAAGCAAAAAAGTATTTAAATATGGCTATTTTTATTTATTTTTTTACAAACAAAAATTTGGAATTTTTTTTTGAACCGGGCCAGGTTACTGGTTAATCGACCGGGTCACCGATTTTTTATAAAAATCGGCCGAGTCGGACCGGGTCGTACCGGTTCTGATGCATGACCGGTCCATTGCTTCTACCGGACCGGTTATATGACCGATTTACCGATTTCTCGATCGACCCGGCCGGGTCGGTCCGGTTTTAACAACTATGCTTATATGTGTATATTTAATGGAATATTTTTGTCATACTTATTAAAAATATTATTTGTTTAAAGTAATTAGTTAATGACTCAAAAGAAACAAAACGAGAAAATAACACTGATATGATTTATTAAATAATTAAATAAAATAAACAAACATGAGAAATTGAAAAAATAAATACAAAAATAAAACATATTAATCCGTATGACCTTTTTCATATCTTTAAATTAAAAAGACAACTTTGTTTTGAAAATAAAAATAAAACCTACAATAATCTTAAAAATATATTAATATAAAATATTAAATAAACAATTATAAGTATTTTTTAATTCACTTAACGATATTAATTGAATACTTAATTAAATTTAAATAAAATAGAGTATAATTTATGGTTAAAATATATTTATTGAATTATACGCACTCTGCTTACGTATTCTCCAAGTGTTAAGATCTTTATATCATACATCTCTGTCTCTCTCTCGAACCTCAATTTCTCCCAAACCCTAATTTCCGAAAATTCCCCCAAATCCTCGTATATTGTAGCCTTTGTTCTCCGAATCCCCGATTCTACTATGGAGCACAACAACGACAACAACAAGATGTACAACATGTTCGTGAAGCACTTGGACGGGAAAACCCTAACCCTATTATTCCCATCTCCGATCGCATACGCGAATTCCATAAAGGATCGCCTATTCGAACTCACCGGAATCCCGACGCAACACCAGCGTCTGGTGACGGGGTGTCGGCACCTGAACGACGAGAAATCGGCGATATGGTGCTCGCCGGAAGGCGGGAACATGTTCCCGTCGGTGCGGCTACTGCTGCGGCTGAAAGGAGGGAAGGGAGGGTTCGGATCGCTTCTGCGTGGGGCGGCGACGAAGGCTGGGCAGAAGAAGACGAACAATTTCGATGCTTGCAGGGATATGAGTGGGCGAAGGCTGAGACACGTGAACGCTGAGAAGAGGTTGGAGGAGTGGAAGGCTGGGGAAGAGGAGAGGAAGTTGGAGAAAGTGGCAGAGGAGTTTCTGAAGAAGCAAATGAAAAAGAAGGGTAAGAAGGGTGTGAATGATGCTGAGACCCACAAGTACGTTGCTAAATATAGGGAGGATTCTGAACGCTGCGTTGCAGAGGTTGCCTTGTCCGTCAAGGAGGCTCTCAATTGTAAGCGGAAACTTTCAGAAGCTTCCCCTCCCCAAGATGCCAAGAAGATGAAGATATGGTAAGTGATAACCTAAATTTACTTGTTTGTTGAACATGAAGTTATTTTATGGATTGTTGAGTAGTGGCTAGACTTTGGCTTGTTGAGGATTGTTTATACTTCATTCTCCCACACATGCACTACTAAAAGGATTTTATGTATTGATAGATGTTGATATTTTATGCTGGTTTGATTTTCTAGGATGGGGAAGAGAAAATTGACTGGAAGTGATAGTGATGATTCCGATGAGGAGGTGGAAAATGAGAAATCCATTTTATTGAGTGCTCAGAATGAGTCAGATTCAAATAAGGCCGAAGACAGTTCAGGTTCAGTAACTGGTAGGAAACAGGATGGAGACTCTTCTGGTGCAGGATCGTGTGAAAGTGGATCTGAAGAAGATAAAGAAACTGTTGAACCTCAGGGTAATGAAACTATTCAGGCCATACTGAGTGTTGCTGCTGAACCTGTGATAAATTGTGAGATGATTGAGGCTGCTCCTATGCCTTGTTCTGAGTCTCTAGTTTCTGGATTCACGGATTGCAACGAAGCTGTATCTGACAAGTTTGATGGAAGTGTTAGTCAAGCCTCAAATGTTATGAGCTCTGAAACTGTGGTTGGTGCAAGCCAATCTAATGATATGGAAATTGATGGATGTCTGGAGCAAAAAGTAGCAGTCCATGAAGAAAGCTCGCCAAGCACTAGTGTTCCAGCATTTGAGGAGCCTCTGAATTTTGATGTTTTTAATTCAGCTGCAGAACTTGAGGTATATTTTCAGAACATATCCAATACTTCTGTCGTGCACTGCCCCATGCTGTGTTTATATGCTGCTTTATTTATGTATTGACTTTGATTTGATGAATCTAATCTTTCAAAATAGATATAAACAGTAACTTTTAAGCGACCTATATTTTTCAGAAGTCCTACTACTGATATTTTGGTGTTTGGAAGTAATTTTTTTTCAAACTTATTGAATTTAATGTTATGTGTACTTATATTATAGTCTTAGACATACGTGAAAATACAAGTAACTTCATATAAACTAAATCCACTAATCAAGTAACCATTTAATTAGCCTCTGGATTTTTATGTATTTCCCATTTCTTTGACCTTACTTATCAGGTTCTTGGCTTGGAAAAGTTGAAATCCGAACTGCAGTCGCGTGGGTTAAAATGTGGAGGTACTTTGCAGGAGCGTGCTGCCAGGCTTTTTCTTTTAAAATCCACTCCTCTGGATAAACTTCCAAAGAAGCTGCTAGCCAAGAAATGATTTTGTAACTATTTCTACGTTTTTGTTTAGCAGTCAATTGTATCTTGACCTGGGGAAGAGACTAATGTTTGCTTTTTCTGCGTTTTATTGCTGATTGCGGGCTGTATTTGATGTAATAATACCATTAACAACAGCAAAGGAAGCGGATCATTACCCAAGTCTCATGCATTATGAACAATTTCAATTTTCTTTTTAGATTGTAAATGAGTATTATATTATAATGAGCTTTTCACTTGGTATCATCAATGGCTGCGTGGTTAGTATTATTGTTCTTTTTTTTTCCTATTATTATTACAGTCCGTGTTATAGTAAATTCACAGTCTTTTTTTTTCTTTTTTTTGATAAATAAAATTGACAATCATTTTACATGTTAGTCATCCAGATAATGATACAATATGACGATAAAACGAAAGCAGCTGAATTTCTTTCCCAGTTTGACTGTCGATTAATTAGTATTAAATTATCAAATCCTGTTTTGTACTTTACTGTACCTTTGATTTCTATGACGTAGGGAAACTACTGGGCATGGCCCTTCAATTAAAATTGCGTCAAGCGTCATAAAATTGAAGAATATACTGGAACATGTGGCATGTTACAACAAATGCTACCAGCTCATGGCTGGCAAATTTTCCTTTTTATTATGGGAAATGCGATTTATTTGACAGTAAATGATGGTGGGGTCACTTAGAAAAAAATTAAAAAAAAATTTATATTTTTTTTTTGTGAGTCTGGAAGGAGATGTATATTCTAAAGGAGAAATACATCTTCCTTTCATTATATAACAAAATGATATACAAATTAATTGAACTTATTGAAAACAATATTTTTCAAAAGAAAAGAAAAATTAAAGGTTTGGTAACTGCAATTGCTCCACGGGCGGAAACAATGTGAAACCTAGTTCATAAATTCCCTACAATTGGGGGCTTTACAGAGGCAAGGAACCTTGAGTTCATCTCGTTCGTCTGGATCGAACAAGTAGTCATACCTGTTGCAACATTGAGATTAAAAAAAGGTTATTTCTCAGACTAATCAAAACTTCATACTTTAGATATGCAGTATGACACATTCCAATATGCATGATTGCTTACGAGCACACACACATACATAATAAGATATACAAGCACAACAAAACAAACCGCACGTTAGTTCTACACCAACAGAAACATTGGTCTTGGCAATAAGAACAATCCGGCTCTCCTGATCACCCAAACACATAATCCTTGCAAAGCAGTTTGGCGTGCACTGCAACATGTCAGATTGATTCGTAAATATTTTCAGCAATACAAGATTCATAGTCTGATTCAACAGCTGGGGAACTATAGTACAAGGAAACCAACTAGCTTCAGTATAAAACCAAAGACAAGATTCATCAGAAATAACTTACAGAATGGTTTATTAAACGTGCAATATTGCCCTTATCCGTTGCATCAATTACCACTTCCTCGCTAATCTTGAATAGCTGCATAATTTGTTTCATTCGGTATTAAGATCAGTAGTTCATCGAATCCTAATGCTAACAGTAAACATGAACCCGTCTAAAAGAGGCAGTCAAACCACATGAACTATGAGTACAAATGAAGGCTAACTGACCATTTTGGCATTTTTTCAGCCAATATTTATGAGTTTGGATTGAATCCTAAACATATTTTCAATTGGGGGTGGTCAATGCCAAGGTAGTCAAGATCGTTGGAAGGGAATGGCAAGATCGAAAATCGTAAGATCGAAATGAATCCTAGACGACAATTCAAACTAGCTAGCTGTGTAAGTGGGTACAGATCAAAACGTAGGTTTAGAAAAAACAATCAACAAGGCAAGAATCAATAATAGGAGCTGTTAGCAATATATAGTTCAAAATAAACAAACAAGAACAGGATTGGGGTGAGTTAAAAACTTATCAAATATTATGAGATTGTTCAACAACTGAGTTGATTTTCGGTAGACTATTTTTTGTTTATTTTTTGACATTCTAATCCATTAGATCTCATCTTATACGATCCAAACACAATGTGAAAAGCAACACATAATAAGTGGCTTGGAGTACAGTACATACAGATATAGAAAACAATCTTAAACAAGAGACTCACATAACAATCTTTGCCTTCTGAACGGTACCTTGCTTCCCTCATATCAGCAACACTACGCCTTACCTTCTCACCACGATATTCAACAACCTGCAGACAAGCATAAGAAGCATGTATGTATTGTCTTTTAGAGGAAACTGCGGGTAAGAATTTATGTTACACTTCAGCGAACATATTAAATTAATACAGTAAGTTACCATTTCTCCTTCTTGTAATTCTCTTCGTGCAAAGAGGCCCCATCCATGAATACCTGATTTTCCAAAGCAAACTCTATGGTTTTCCGTCTTCTGAAACCCTAAAACATTAAATGTTAAAAAAAAAGGGGAAAAAAGAGATATATTTTAAATTAAAAAAAAAAGTAAGATATGTAAATGAAATGTTAACTGTAGCAAATGGAGAGATAAACTAGCCTGTAAATGGCGAAGATGTTCCTTCAAAGAAGAAAATACTTCATCATCCTATCACAAAGCAATATTACAAGTTAGAAGATCTTTTTCTGCCAAACAAAAAAAACTTCATGTGGTACAGCCACGACTCAAAAAGACTAGTTATCCATTTCAAAAGCAATAGGTCCAACACCAAGACAAGATTACCTTATTGCTGTTCAGTTGAGCTATTGCACTTAAAGAATGAAGGTTTGGTCCCCCAAGCAAGTGAATTATTGGCACATTATCCTTCTGCCAATATCGGAGAAAATGTATTGAATGAGACCAAACTAAACAAAATAGATAATGTAAGTAACTAACCCGTTAACACCAAAACGAGGATAATAGTACTTAGCTTTGGATGCAGCAGAAATACTGGAAGTGAGTATGAATATGAAACAAAAGACTACAGAAGTAAATATAATGTTACGGCCACAATAGATGTTCTAAATAATCACCTTATTGGGAGACCTTCTGTACAGACGACATCTGGCAGCAGACAGTGGCTCAACCTCAGAACCTTCAAAGGTTGAAGACTCAAGGAGTTCTATATTCTTTGATGAAACCAGCCTTGATACCCTGAAGCACCCCTTGTTTTTTGGAAGCGAAGTTCTTGGAGAGAAAACCCCAAGGGGGGTATGTACAACTAGTCCTGAATCTGGGTTTGGGACCCTAAAATGGAATTAACATATAAAAACATTTTAAAAAAAAATACATGAAAAATAAAATTAGTATAATTAAGTGATCAGAGCTCAAACCTGTGAACTGCACAATATATTAGCTTCTTTGTTATATGATTTCCTTTCTTCTCCGTGGAATGCAACTGTAAATTTAAACTATATCAACATATTTCCCCAGCCGTGGTAATCATCCTATAGTTAAATGCTAACTTCCATAGAAATTTATTTATTTAGTATGGAAACTTAAATGACTCCCCTGCCCTCCAAAAGGAATCAATTAAGAAGAAAAAATAGCAGTTTCAGATCAATGACCTGTTCACATTTAATAAGACCATCAAACTTACTTCCATGCTATATCCCATTCTTGATGCGCACATCACATGAAAATGTGTAGCACACTTGCAACAACTTGTACAGGAACCATGGCTTTGTTTACAGATCACGCAAGTCTGCCGTCAATATAGACAGGAAACATTTAAATAATGAACGTAAGAGCATAGCCCACCCAAGCTCAACGAGTAAAAGGAGAGCAAACGAATAAATAACAACCTCACCAAAATGAATAAAATCATGGGGAGAAGGGTTTCTATTTCTGAGTTGAATTGAAGGTGTAAGATTATACAGCAAATGTTCAGACTATTAATGTTGAGTAGAAAGTATTTTGGATAAGTGATTTTGTGAGCATAAGTTGATTGGATAGCGTAATAAAATTACGTTAGGTTATGAAATTACCAAAATAAAGAATTACATTATATGATTGTATTTCTTTTTTCTCTTTTTTTGGTAAAAGAATACATTCTGCGTGGTTATCAAAACAAGCACATAACTTAGTAGTTCTTAGGGTACTGCTTGAAAGAATATTGTAGGATTGTAGCTGAAACCACCTGACAATAAATTTCAAGAAAACCTTATAGCCCAATGTTTTACCTTCAAAAAGGAATTAGATGGAATCTTAAGGATTCCAGTGGCGGGTTCCATTGCCTCATGGTTTTGGAAAAGAACTTCAGGCCGAAACCAAGCGCATGTTACATGAACCCACAACATCTCGACATCAGTTGGCTTCAAAGCACCACCTGCAAAGCGTTTCCCCAATATTGTAATAGCAAATTAGCATTGGCCGACAGAATTGACCGTGGCGGAAAAATTATGAGAAAAATAAAAGGCATAATCAAATGGTAAGTGCACAGTGCTAGTACTACAGACGTAATTGTAGGCATATTTGCACGAAGCTTATAAGAGGATTCTCCTTAACTATGTGAAAATGGGCTAAATTGATTGCATGTATGGATTGGTGTAGAGATTGATGATCCAACAAAGTCAAGTCAATCTTGATATGTACGAAAAAACTTGCTCATTTCTCAGTGAAGAATTAGAGTGCTAGATCCATTACTTACTACTTTCATAAAGAAACAGCATATGACAAAGCAAAAACGATCAGACTGCAGAAAAAACTAAATGTAGATGACATGCCTTTTACTGGACAGAGGCAACACTCCCTCCCTCTCAACATCAGGAGTTTCACAGACTCTGCAAACCCAGGAAGTAAACTGAACATTCTTTGCCCCATAGCATTCTTGGTGAACTGCAATTTGGCACCTGCACAATCAACAGGTCACATAATGTTTGACATTTAATCCCCTGCGGGTAAAGATCACGAAAATGATGAAAACACCTGTTACAGATAATTATTTTGTTATCTTCCCAGTCTTCAACCCATCTGCAAATGGCACATCTTTCTGTTGTCCATCTTGCATAAACAGGCTCATACTTCTCTGCGCAAAATAAGGTAAAAGTAAAATAAGTTTCTCCCTTTCAAAGATATATTCAAGACAAAACGTGTGACTGCAATGTGCCATAAAACCTGATCATGTAAAAGAAATGAAGGCTTAATTATGTGAAAGTTCACAAGGAATAGACATTTACCTTGCAAAAAGGAGAGCACCTTTTGCTGATCTAACCGTAGAGGAATACCAGGTTGAGATTTGTGCTTCGTGATCTGGAGAAATTTATATTGTTAGTTCAAAATATGAGAAAGAAGCAAAACCTAATATAGAAAAAGAAAGGTACGATACACACACGCCGACACACGTTACACTGTCTAAATCTCCATACTTAAAATTCAGAAATGTTTAGAAATAAAAGTGATGTAGACAGCATTAAAGTAATCCAGGTGAGAGTAATCATTCTTCATGACTATTAATACAAAACGGACCAACACCTAATCAACCAAAAAGATTCGTTATGCCTCTAATATAGCAAGAGTTGATACAAACCCATTTTATCAGCGGTTGCATTGTGCTTTCCACTTTCACACTATATTTCCATTTTTTGGCTCTGCAACCTGCATGCCCTTCCCATTCAATCGGGGTCTGCTTCCTTGAACCACACGAGCCACACTTGCACATAACTCTGCAAGAAAATTTAATAAAAAATAAGCTGCATGAAATTAGTCTAGAATGACATAATACGTAATCACCTAAAGTTCTTTAATTGGTTCAGATAAAAAATTGTTTTGCTTGTGAACCTAGCCAGATTCTTTAACAAATATAAAATCTAGATTCAGGGTAGTTTCTTTCTTTCAACATAATATTGAATCCACCCAATGTACCAATTAATAACAAAATCAAAAATAATATATATGTATATGCATTAGTTGTGAGGAAAAAAAATGTACACACACAGTAACCTTCAGAGAAAACTCCTAAGAACATGGGAGGAAGGATGACAACGATGGAGAGATGGATAGAAAGAATCTCCAAAAATATGTATTTTAGAAAGAGAGCAATACCAAAAACTTCTCTGCACCACGGACGGGAAGTTAAATTATTTAAATCAGGTTATCAAACCCATAATATGAAAGAAATGTTGAAGGCTTACAAATGAAGCTTTGGAATATAAGTCTCATATTCAAAGAATAAAGTCAAAATGCGTAATGCCCCTAGGAAAAGGAAGCAATAGAAAATAATTACAGATGCATACTTGATTTTTGACTTGTATGTTTGTGATGCTGATAATTTGCAATTGAATTTTCCCTTGCAATCTGGGCAATAGTAGTCTGTTTTTTCCAGATCCTGCATCCAGAAACCAGTCAGTCATCTTACGTATTTTTTTGAACTAGGGAAATCAAACAAGATAATAGAAAAGAGAGATATGTAGCACCATGTTAATCATGATACGACACCTTGAAAAGTTTGCTGGAAATTTTGTCACACTCAGCATGCACCCAAACATTACAACCATCACACATACCTGACTCAGAGAGTTCAGACCCACAAGATCTCAAAATTATGATTCTTCAATGAAATAAAAATAAATTAAATCAAGCAAAAACCTAATTGAGAAGGCAGACAATCTCACCCAATCCCCACCATCTGAATGGTGCCAAATCTTTTTGCAAATGCCACAATATT